TGCCTCTTGTCCCAGTCTATATTGAGCTTTGCTATAACCTTGTGCAACGGATCTGATTGACGGTCTTCAATGCATTGAATATTTATCGTAAATGCCATGGGAGTATAAGCAGGGACATTTACGATATAGTTAGAAACCGTTAATCCCTATGTCGTTAGGAGTATTTGCCTCTTGTCCCAGTCTATATTGAGCTTTGCTATAACCTTGTGCAACGGATCTTATATACGGTCTTCGGAATAAATCTCAATGCATAAGCGGGGACGTTGGCAAGGCGGTTGAGCAATACAAAAAAGTGGGCGAGCAAGAATGTCCAGCAGCCCAATATAGGATGGCAAGATGTTACAAGGCTGGAGTTAATCCCGTCAGGACATAGTCGAGACTCCGAGATAGGTAAAGCCTACGTTCCAGGTCAGGTCACTATCTGGTATTGCGGATCGTAAAAAGATTGGTAATAATAGTTGGCAGGCGAAAACCTAAGCGAAGCACTGGAGACGTTGGTATTATATATTGAATAGGCCAAGTGTCGATAGTTATCCGCTCTCCCGTGACCGTTGGCACGACACTAGGTTTTCTTCCAACGATTGAAGCCAGATCTCGTTATTACTGTCGCACTATAATGGAAATATCAGCCATAGGACGAGAGGGTCAACTCAATATGATTGGTTGGTTAAATTGGGTAGGGTATAAAGTTAAGCACTTGGCTTACACGCAATAAGATTATTAAAAGAATATCCTTAACAAATGCACAGAAACGTCAACTATGTCTTGACAAGGAGAGAAAAAACTTACACCAACAAATGGCGAACTTGCGTCGAAGTACGGAATCAAGGAAAAAACCGTCTCTGCGGTCTTAATGGCAAAAGAAAAGCGGCTTGCAACAAATTCTAATAAATATACTGCTCAGTTGAAGCTCAAATACGAGAATGTTGAACGTGCCTTGTGGAGTTGGGTCAAAGGTGCGTTATCCTCTAGTCTTGATATCGCTGGTGCTGTGATCTATATGACATATATCGTGTAACGATTGATGTAATTGTCATTTTTGTTGACCGAATAAAAATTTATTACAAGTCATTAAACTTATAGCATAATTATAATTGTATAAACAATCATTAAGAAGTCCATTATAACAAACCATACACGTTATATTATGGACTCGTGTTATAATGGTGCTCATGGGCTATGCCCAACTTTCTATTATAACGAGCTTCGACTGTACAGTCAAACCTCGATATAATGAAGACTCGATACAGTGAATTTGGCACTATAGTGATGAAACAAAAACAGTACAATTAAATTTTCACTCGATACAATGAAGTTATATATGTAGTTAATTCTCGTTATTAGATATAGTGAAGTTTTTCTCAAACAAATATTAGTAGATTGGCATCTCGATATAGTCCACCTGATGGATAAAACTGTAAACACGTGTTAGAATTTTAACAGCATGATGCTGAATAAAGAAGAAACAGTGCGCTACCAATTCAGAGAGAAGCTTGTCCGGCGTCCAGAAAGTCGTTTAAAAGAGCGAGGTGTTAGCCAAATTACGATAGCGAAGTAATTCAATATTAATATTGCTGAGGCAACTAATTGAACTTGCTTATGTCACACAACTTAGTAACAACCAGTAGATTTCGGGCGCTCTCATCAGACAGTAGGTAAGTTAAAGGACTCATAAGTTCTTGCCAAATGAAGTGGAAAGATTTCTTTATTACTACAACTCGGGCAAACGTTAGAACTCCTCAAAATTCGTCGGCGAAGGGATCTTTATCTGATTAATATTAAATGGTTAATATTTGGAAAGAAAGTTTGGATAGAATTTACTTGATAAGAAATTGCATACGCTTACTTTTTGATAAAAAGAAATAATAAAAGATGAATGACTCATCTCGAGTTGTAAAATGGTAATAAGAAGAAACTCAGTTTAAGTATTGGGAATTTTTAATCGAAACGAGATTAATATTAATATTAAAATTACCGGTGTACAGTATGAAATATCGACGACGTGAAAGCATCAGCGATGTGCAATTGGATAGTTTATTATTACTATATTGTTTTGAGATCCATCGCGATATCAAAAGTTATTATGATAAATGAGATCAAGATCAAGCAATTCAAATTGGGGTGTACTTTCTTTGGATGAGCATGCTTTGTTATTATTACTGCCACACGATGTTTCCAGATGGCTGTATTGGTGCGTGCAAACAATAATAATGGTATCAAACACCGAGAACTGAGTATTTAATTAATCAATTAAAATTGCGCATTTATACTAAATGAATTCTGTGGTCAGGCCAATAAGGGAAATCCCGGCATTATTACCGTGTTGATGACACAATCAAACTATTTACCTAAAAACCAACCATTAATTCTGTCTTCTTGTCAATAGCGGACCGTTTGATGGTTACGCAAGAAATGCGAATATGTGTCTACAGAAAGAAGCGTAATTCGCATTGTCAACAAGAGTTTCGTGCGTCTTTTCATACTGCTTAAGATTTCATACGCACTTACTGCAACGCCACATAAACATCGGATTTGCCAAGACGAGGAGTTTACAAGAACTATTCGGTTCAGGTTCGATGTCGGCGATTCAATATTATGCGTGTTGATTATGTTAAAGCGTTACGTGTTGTTCATTCATGCAGCGCACGAGCGTTTATAGAAAGTATTGACACTTTCCTTTTTGTTTGTTGCTAAATTATAAAGATTGATACATGCAGATCTGGGGGGAGAAACCGTAATTGTGGAAGATTATAAGCTCTATATATAATACACATATCTATCAAGATCGTGACAGCAAGGCAATTCATACCGTCAGTAGGTTTTCATTACTTATTGAGCCTTAATTGGGAAACGGGTGGGATGGTGTTTCGTGTTGGAATTAACATCAGCGTATAATAGTTACAAGCTGGTTTTATTAGTAAACGTCTTTTGAGCGTAATTGCAAATTCTCATAGATGCAGATGGTTTTACGATTGAGCATCATTAAATGTGAAAGCGAAGTTAATGAATTGCCTTTTTTTCCCCCACTAATCATGTTAGACGTCAGTGACGACGAGATTTTACCGATCTGATCATTTTCACTTTTCCGATTACCTTAGCATCCTTTGGCCTTGTTAGCCCCTGTCATTACTAAGCTCGCCTCATTATACTTGCGTTCGTTGCCACAATCTAATGGACAACCGAGTAACACAATCTAATTCACGCCCACCGACAAAACCGAAACCCGCCAACTTGTCAGTAGCTCTTAACAAAAAGTCTTCTTTCGAAGCCGAGACAGACTCTTCACGCTCTTCATCAAACCATTTAACGGTCAAGAAAGTTTCACCAGCGAAAGGGCCAAACGTAAATAGATTATCTAGTGTATTCGAAAATGCAAATTCTTCAAACACAACATCAGGTGTTGCCGCGAGAGGAACGGGAAGAGGAACAGGAAGAGGAACGGGAAGAGGAACGGCAAGAGGAAGGGGAAGGGGAAGGGGGAAAGTTGGAAGTGGTAAAGGGGATGTTACCAGTACCAGAGCGAACGGAGCGAACGGAGAGACTGCACAGAAGAAACGGATTGGCATTGAGTTGGAAAAAGGAAATGGCGTAAAAAGTGGCAACATAAAAAAGGAAGACAATAATCCCAAAGAGTCAGGAAATGTCGAAATAGATGATTCGACGTTAAACTTTGGTGATATTAAGGCAAGATTTCAGAAGGAAAAGAACCTTGATGAAAAGAAGGTAAGTCAATCAGAAAGCTAAGACTAGGGGTAATTCGAACCGTTTGGAGGGGTATTACTTCGAGCGGGATAATCTAGAAGGACGTTTTTCTCTCATAGTTGTGATTTCATCTGTTTCCATATTTATTCGCTCTATCAAATGACACTGAATACTTTACCAAATAAGAAGCCATATGTCCCGTCACGAGCAGACACGAGTCGGTTGGCTACTCCTCCATCAACAAGGTCTTCTTCAGCTTCGAAGACTGGTAAAGTAGAGTGGCTGATAGAAAGCCTTGCATAATCTTGCTGCTCTTTTCCGATTTCTTTTTCCCGCTTTTTCTTCACTATGTCCTCTTTATTCTTGCTATTAGGACCTAAAAAGTCACAAAAATCTCCTCCGCCACGTCAGTTCTCCTATGAAAGCGATACAGATACTTCTACTTCAGACGAAATGGTGACAGTTGAAGCTAGCCGTAATAGTCATAAACAAGCGAATGGTGTTCCAATTGTAAAGTTATCATCAAAAGAGATTGCTAGAGACCAGTCGTTGTCTAGCAAGATAAGTGGAAGAGGCTCCTCGGCAGATTATAGTAGTACTTCAGAAAAAGACGATACAATTTTATCTATAGACGGCTTTGCAGCAAAGAGACAAAGTATAGCAGAACAACTTCATGGCACATTTACACCTTTGTCAAGTACCACATATACTTCTTACATCAATCCTCCGTCTCGTTCTTCTTCAAAATCATCCTCTATTTCTTATTCTCGAAGATCTGTGAGTCCTCCACCTTCCCATCCTACCTATGCCTCATCATCTTCGACGATAGCACAGCTAGACACGCCTACCAGTGAATATTCTTCGTCAATAGATGAGATTCCTACTACACAGGAAGACTTGGGGCTTGAGAAAGAGATAGATTTAGTGTTTGAAAAAGAATCGAAAAGGAGAAAGCAGTTGTGGAATGTCATAAAAGAATTAGTGGAAACTGAGGGAGTCTTTTTGAGCGATATGTATTTGCTCGAAGAGGTAAAGGATTTTTTATAGGAACCTGAAACGTGTTTGCAGCAATCACCTACTTTACTGGTCTTGCGCTTTTTGTTTGTATGCTCTTCTCATTATCCTCATTTCCGTTTTGATAGGTCTACTATATCAATGCCCGCGACATTCCAATATTTAATCCATACGATCTTAAAGTAATCTTTGGTAACCTTACCGATATCATAGACTTTTCCGATACGTTTTATGAATTACTTCAAGCAGCTACAGGAACTGACGATTTAGAGGACACAGAAAGTCATTTAGTCGATGAAAATGATACTACTTGGATTGGGGAAGCTTTTGTAAAAATGGTAATTATTATAAAGGATAATCGCCGAAAGCAAAAGTGGTCGTGTTATGAAAGCCTTCCGTTTCATTCACAAAGCGAACTTGAAAAAAAAACTCCCCTATCTATATGCGCATGATTATTTGCGGTTAAACTTGTTACTTTGATATTGATACTAACTATTTTAAATCTCTTTTTTCTTTTTCTACGTCCTTGTTCTCACAGTTAGATAGCAAGGAAGACTTGTCAGGAAACTACAACCGGATGGAAGCCACTTATGGCGAATATTGTAAACGACACGAAACTGCTGTTGCCAAATTACAGGAATTTGAGAATAACGAAAACGTGCAAGGGTTCTTACAGGTTTGCAGTTAAAGACGATAATAATGTCGGATGGTTTAATCGCGCTATTATTTCGCGTAGCGCTGTAACGATTTGTTGCTGTATTACTAGAAATGCAAAGAACAATGCGAAGGACGAACGCGAAGTTGGGATATTGCAAGTTTATTAATTAAACCTGTCCAGCGTGTATTGAAATACCCATTATTACTACAGGTAATTAGCGTATGGCTTACGCAATTGTGGATTTATTTGTTGATTCTGGTATACGGTAGTTTGTACTTGTAGTTTAAGTGCCACACTTAACTTATTTACTTTTTTCTTAACCCGTATCCCTCATTCCCAATATAATAATACCTTTACATTCGATCTAATCCAGCAAATCCTCCAACTTACAAAACCTTCACATCCAGACTACGGACAATTAAAACATGCCTTTGACGAAATGCAAAAGGTGGCTGAACGCATCAATGATATTAAAAGAAGAAAAGACATTGTAGAGAAAATAGTTGGATCCAAAAAGAAGAGTGACGCGGATTTAGTTCGTGGGTTTACAAAAACCTTGACTAGAAGAAAGCAATTACTTAGACACATGACCGGATTGGCAAAGCCTACAGAGGATGAACTGTATATCGCGTACGTGGACAAGTTTAGGCATTGGGAACAGCAAGGAGTTTTATTGCAGAAGAACGTTAAGGATTGGGTTAAGAGCGTTAGGCGTAAGTACTTCATTATGTTGGTATGATGAACATCACAAAATATTAATGTAAAATACAACAGACATTACTCATCTTTATTATTGGCTAATATCTGCGTTTTTGTCTTTTATAGAATACTTTGAAGATCAAAACCGTATAGTGTCAGCAATAGAAGACTACTATGTTATGGGACTTCCAATAAGTAAACGGCCTGAGCAATTGAAACGAATGGCAGAATACAGAAAAATTATTAAAGAGCTTCCTTCATCTTGTGGAAAAGAAATGGTAATGGTTGGCGAGAAAGATGAACAATGTTCATTAGCATCTGTTCACAGAAAAATCTATTTTTCAACGATTCGATTGGTATTAACAGCTAATACATTCTTTTGTTGTACAGGAAGAAGCGATAAAAAAGTATATATATCCTAAATTAGACATGTTCATGGAACGATTCAAAGCTCCAACAGCAGTCATGAAAAAGAGAGAGAAGAAGGTGCTTGATCATGAACGAGCAGAATCAATAAAAGGAAAGGGTGATACGGTGAGTCATTAATACTAAAGGATGAAGTTTGAGAATTAGCAGAATCTTTTCATATTTATAGACTGATATTAATGCATTATCTTATTCACGAATAAACGTTTGTTCTTCACATTCCAATTACTCACATAGCCTGATAAGGCCTTACAAGAATCCGCAGACGCCTTCACTTCGATCTCACAACAACTGCATGAAGAACTTCCAAAATTTTTTGAATTAATGCGTCAATTTTTTAACATTATAGTCGAAGATTTTGCCAAAATTCAAGCGCAATTCTATCGACAAATGGGAATGGAATTTAGGCAGTATTTTTACAAGTATATTGAACAAGAAGCATTAGAGTATGTGTCGAATGATCGGGAACTGGTGATAAGAGAATTTGACGTGGTGACAGAATATGGAGATAGAATGTTGGAAATAGAGAACAGGTTGGGTCTGTTTGTGTTGTGTAATCAGAGCGATGGTGAGTTTGAGATTTTTATTTTCGCGAAACCATTAAACGTGAGAGCATATTCTTTTTTAATGAATTCTTCTCAATATTTCTCTAATCGATGCTCATTCATCTTTAGGATCTCCAATTGAAGACACAGACGATCGAGGACGCAAGATGAAACGTAAACCGTCTCACTCAGACACCTTGGGTTCGCAAGCGTCCATGAATTCACGAAAAAGATCAAGTAAGAATAGATGGAGCAAGTTGATATCAACTGCAGTAGTGTTTTATCTTACAAAATTTATTGATACCCTCGATTTTGCCACTTTACACCCGCTTGTACAACAGTGTCCACAGATCCAAAGAGACGCGGAGGGATGGTCGGACCGGATCGTACATCCTGGCGATCTTCATCATCGACTAAATTCGGCCTTGACAAGATAAACGATGAAGTAATCAACCCGTTTGATGATATACAGTATGGTCATCGAAAGTACGCGACTGAAGGGGCTGTACCGTTGAACAGAACTCTATCTTATCCGACATCTGCATCCACGACATCATACCCTGACCTTCCTCCCTATACGGAAACAATCGTATCTAACGCTACTTCCTCGGATGACGACGATGACATTTTCCACGACACACTGACTGGAGAAGAGGGTCCAACGTCTACCGAACTTCGTGTACCATTTCTCGTTGCTACGTTATATCGTTACAAGACAAAAGAGAAGAACGTGCTGTCATTTGAGGCTCATACGCTGTTAAAAGTCATACATATCGACGAGAAAGGAGAATGGTGGTTTGCTGTTAATGAGGATACTGGGGAAAGGGGTTGGGTCGATGTTGCATTAACTGAGAAGCTATGAATATGTAAGGAAACTGGTGGAATGAGGGAGAATGGCTTTTTATGTCAGTATTTTAGCTGGCATTAATATTATTGGATTTTCGTGGTCTTTATTAGGCATGCCAAGAAATATTGGTTACCTTTGCTTGATAAATAGGGTTTTTTATTGTATCTATAATTCGCCGATTATATTTTATTTATTTTTTATTCTTCTTTCAACTTTCGAACTGGACTTTTGGTACCTTTAAACTCAATGATATGCTTATAAAACGGATGGGTAACTAATTGTATTGTAACTTATGGGATAATGACTTGGACTGAATTCCCCCCGAGTATTCTGATAAAGTATAGCTGTTGAGATTCTTATCCTTTTGATTCTGTTTTTTAATTGGATTTCAACATCTTGTATTAAATAATATAATGCATCATACTTGCATGTTTCAAGTCTGAAAAGAAAAAGAGAGAAATAATTTATTCAATTTTATACAAAGTCCACGGGCAAATTGTACATTGTCGTATCTATGAGTTGCGCAATGATTTCCACTAGCAAACGTTCGGAACCTTTTAAATCCTTTGAATAAACTGTGTGGACGCCTCCCACTGTCATCGGTCCATAAGAAAATCAAAGCAATAGCATATTTATGATAATATTCTGCTGAATATACTGCGACCGGCCTTCTTCGTTAACTTAATTGATCCCAACTCTTGTGTGCAAATGTTTGATCCTGTTTAATTTTTTTAATGAATTCTCCGAGGCTTTCGTGTTTCCCTTATCAGATAATGATGGTGATGGTGACAATACTATGCCCTCTGCAGCAAATTGACACTAATGACGGAGTTTGCACAGCCCATAGCTGATCAAACGACGAGGGGCGCCGTAGACGCCCCCGACAGCCACACAATAATAAGAGTGGCATCTTCCTGCCGAGATACCTTTCATTGTTCTATTAGAGTGCATATGGAATCTGCAATATATATATATATATATTAATATATAATGAGTAATAGATATCTTTGTGAATCAGCTTTGAAATCCTTACCTTAACCTCTGTTGATTGAGCTGTAACAACCTGATGCTATTTTTTTTAACAATAGCTTAATCCTGCAAGCGATACCGTAAATTCAATTAATGTATATGAATTAGGATTGTGCTGCCCGCGTAATAATGATACATACGTGGAGGTGCTGAAAAGTTTTGGATCTTTATTTCCAATAGCATTAACTTCAGCCTCTTTTTTAATAATGCTGATAATTTCTTCAATCCTGAAATCATCGTCTTTTCCTTCATATGCCTGATAGTTACCGTGACTAGGAGTTCTCTCGAACGCTTTGACGATTTTTTCAAGCAGGAGTATCTTGACAAGAGATTTAGGTTCGCAACCGAAATAAGTTTTTTTAGCGCCTCGTGGGGCGTCGTCTTAATAAGGGAGGTAGTATCAAAGGACAATTCAGGACTTGCAACTATTATATTCCTTCGAAGTACGCATTAAACTCTATACAGCGTTTTAGCCGCCAACTGCGTGCGGTTTATGCTTACAGTGAAACGATGATTAAAAACGCGTAAAATAAAGAAAGCTAAGATCGCCAACTATTTCGGGATGTTTACAGATGGTAAAATGTAAGGTACGTGATTGTTTTCACACATTATCATATTTCGAAATTATTGTTTAATCCGTGACTTTACATTATGCCATATGCATGGTTGTGTAGCATATATACATTTAGAAATAAAACTTTCCTCCACAAGGAGATGATTTTGAGCGAAAATAAAAGACGAGTAACAAAGAGATTGTCCGATCCTAGAAGCCTTTAGCTGGCTTTCTACTTCCATGAGAACCTTGATTTCCTCTTCGTTTTTTTGACGGCGGTTCATCAGATATCGGTGCACTGCTTGTGTGTCCTGCATGCGCAAGCGATATCAGATATGCAAAACATTAAAGTAAAGTTGGTTGCGCATTGTCGATTGTGACCGTGTGGTTGTTTGGGAGAAATTTTAATTAGGAAAAATACCCCGCCGACCCATTCTGTCCGCATTTCTAAGCTATCGCCCAGGTCTTGCGGGCGGTCAAATGACGACCTACTATTCTGAATCTCCGCCGTCAACGCCGTTACGACGGCCTACTGTTCTGGATCTCCGCCGTCAATGCCGTTATCTCCGCCGTCAACGCCAGTCGAATATCCCGTAAGAGGTTGGTGACAATGACAATGTATGTGGAGGTTGAGTTACTTCTTCGATATGTTAAGTGAGATAAACTCCGGCGAACGATAAATCGTTTCGTTGTATCCAACCGTAAGCCTCGGACCGTAATACGCGGGACGGTTGGGTTTTGTTTTTTATTAATATCTTCACGAACATCGGGTAACATAAAATTATGGTTGTTGCTCTTGCAGCTGTTGTATCGGTAATTAGGTTTTATTTGAGAACAAGAGTTAGAAACTCATTTAATGGTTTTGAACGAACCTTACGGCTCTCAGCTGTGAGGAAAGGTTTTTATAACTAATTTCTAACTACCGCAGTATTTATATCCAATAAATTATGATACTAGAATTGCAAAATGATCTACATGAAAATACAATATAATTATAATCTATTTACTATTACACTTTTCTTCTTTTCTTCGCCAATCCAATATTGAATTGCCAAATGGATTTTTCCGCGGAGTTGTTATTCGAAGATAAAAATTTAGTACTGTGGAAGCTGCAACAGCTTTTCCTTCAAGTAATTATGAATTTTGAATGCCATGTTAATTTTAGAACCGATTCGATTCTTTTATCGTATAATTGTCTCAAATCGTTCCACAACGTTTCGATATCTGGCGAATAAATTTTGTTTTCATTTTTGATAACTTTCTGGACTTTATAATCTTGGTGAATATCCCCATGTTGTAGAGTTGGCTATTACAAATTATGCCATTTCGCAAAGGCGACCAATAAATACTCCAAAAAGAATTAAGCATTTTTCATAGGGTGTTATTGACGGATTTGGTTTATTGCTTAAACGATGTATTGTTTTAACCCGATATTATGGTTATTTCTGAAGTAAGTTAACCAGTACTGTTTTTATAATAAAATATCTGTTTGCTTATCATATACTGCGAATGATCATTAGACAACCGCGAATTTCTGCGCACTGATTATCATGGTCACATTCTGCATACATATATTGACGTGTGTATAAAATATCAATACATGATATTACAATACGTCGCAAAGTCGCTATAACATTACGTATCTACACATACGTGTATACCATAATAATGTCAGTAGAAATGCCAGTCCAGATCCTTGAAGCAAACACGAATGTTGGTGACAATGAATAGCAGGATCATGGGAATTCAATTGACGGTGTACATCGTAGACGGATATTTTATTAATTACTTTCAAATAAAATGCAACAGTAGTAGCAGAAGTGAAAATACTGGTCCATTGGGATAAGAAACACTAATTAGGCTACGAAAGTTGCTATTAATATTAGTATGGCCATGGCCAGCATCTAGTTGCAACGGAAGAAACTGTGCGCATCGTAGAAAGTAACTATATTACTATTATATTTTGCCGGATGAAACTTTATCGTTTATTTCGCTGCTGCAAACGCAAAATTGTATATAATCGTTGATTGTTTAGCAGAAAAATTAACCCCTAATTTTTACATACTTGAATACTTGTACGTGTGCATTTTATTTTCGGTGCTACCACAGTAATAGACCCGTTTTTGTGTTACATATCCGAGCATCTGACCGCAGTAGACAAGTTCGAGCGTAATATGCTAATAAAGGATAGTAATATCAAATTGTGAGCAGGAAAAGACTCGAATTTCTTGCCGAAGAATATAATTTAGTTACTCAATCGTTAATATTAACTACTACACATATTTTTACGTCACTCGCGTGAATGGTTCATTTAATTATAGGTATTAATTAATATTAATATTAATATATAGTAATAGTATATTTATGATGTACCACAGACATGCACAAACCATTGTTTGTCATTGTTCTTTGATATGCAGACCAACTTTCCTAATTAATCCATTTTGCCTACTCTGCAACCATGTAGCAGGTTTTTGTTGCAGAAAATACCTTATAACGCCATTGAGACAACTTGCTTTTCTTACAATCTGCCGAGTAAGTAAGATCTCGGCTATCGCAAAAGGGTTTATTGTCCTGTTTTAGATCACTGATAGCGTATCTACCTGCGAAAGCGGCAGAACAAAGAAAAACGCCATTGAACAAGGTTTGCCCTTACAATCAGCTGAGTAAACAAATCGTTATCATCTATCCACAGATAATGTAATCGCTCGTGAAAAAAGCAACAAACGGGATAATGAAACGCCGTTCGATCCATAAACAGAAAGAGGCTTGGCTCATCACAAAAAACTTAAGGATTCTATTTTAGATACTGATAACGTACCCGTCCCAAAAATAATGACAAACGAACAAATAGAAAACGCCAAACGAACAACGTTGTCCTATACTTCTGCAGAGTGAGCGTGATTCTCGTTTCAATGACTTTTGTCAATTTCTATTTAGAACTTGATGGCGTAATCGCTTGTGAAAACGTAATGAATAGACGAAAAGAAAACGTCATCTTGCTTTATAATCTACAAATCTATCCGCATCACTTATTATAACGCAACTTGCTCGTGAAAAAGAAATAAATGGACGAAAAATAAATACCATCTTGCTTCAAAATTTATCCGCAGCGAGCTTTAATAGTTCCATTGTAGATAGTTGATAACGTAGTGAAAAAGTAAATAAATGAAACTCCATTGACCAGACTTTGTTCATCCTATTTGAGTTAGTTGATACGCACCCCATCTCTGAGAAAAAAATGCTATTCGAGCAGAGGAAGCTTGTGTCGTGTTACCCAAAACTTTTAAGATTTTGATGATGCGACTGATAGCCTATGCACGAATGAGTACACATCAATGGCTTATGCATCATTATTATTTGTCTGACATTTAAACATTTGACTGATAATGTGACTTACGTAATCTGACGTACTTATTATCATGAGTATACTTTTAACAAGCCACAAATCTGTAGTTTGGATTTCTTATAAAGCAGGCATCCCACTTCCTGCGCCAGTCTACACAAATTGCATATTTTTTTTGTACCAACATTCACACACACGCACACACACACGCACACACGCACACACACACACACACATACTGTACCATTAAATTTTGAAGAATTTGTAAACAAACTGTCTTGCGTTATTTATACTTCTGCTACCCGCGCGGATCTTACGAATTAACACAAACTAATTACGAAATGGTCGAACAAATTATCCGACCCACCGGTCAAAATCGGATGTCGTCTGGTCAAACACAGTTAATCTTCTCGCCTTTTCGTCCGCGCTTCGATACGACCATTCGATGGACCCCTCGTATTTCCGTGCCTTGATGGCACTCGGTTTTTTTTTATGGCTCTTCACGACCTGCATCGGTATGTTACATGAATACATTTAATTATCTATATGCATGTATATGTCACTTACTTGTTTATTTTCCAACATTTGATATAGTCGCAGTCGTGGAGAAAATTATGAATAAAATTGAAGAATATATAGATGTAAGTCAAAATATAATATGTTTGCTGAGTTTAATATCGCCTATTAGTCTAATGTCGCTGACAACAATGTATATATTTTATTAATTTTAAAGTCTATTATTATTATATGCTTTGTAACTATTATTATGATAGCGTAGATTTTTAAAATGTAACATAATGGCTCGCTTAAATTTCAATCTAAGCGTAGTCTCTTGCTTATAGTCTAATTGTGCTTATGTATGTAGTTAAATATTACTATCGCCTATTAGTCTAATGTCGCTGACAACAATGTATATATTTTATTAATATTAAAGTCTATATGGACAAGAAAACTATTAAAAGATATCCCGCTGTACAATGCAATCGACGTAATACGCGTAGATCTTTAAAAAATTTCAATCTAAGCGTAGTGTACTTATGTATGTATGTGGTTAAATAACGACAGATGTCCTGTTGAGAAAAAGGACGGTGTTCGTCTTCCGATGTTTTAGTCGGGTTAATTAATGGAAGGTTGTCAGAGCTAAAAATCAAGCAAGCATTGCGTGAGCTTATTCCGATTACTGTTCTATATAATACCAAATATATTGTGTCAAGGAAAAGTTAACTTACACATAATCAAATATTTTCTTAAGTATAATCCCGTATTGAAGACCTTAGGTTCGAAACCGATGCCTTTTTTATATAGAGCATCATTCAACGAAGAAGAAAGCCATTCGTCAATAATGTTTCTTCAATAGGATGTATCTCTTCTTCTGTCTCCGTGTTTCCGACCAACATGTTTTCCATATTCAGATGCACCCAGCCATCCACAAAATGAACGGATTGTTCGGCCAGTACCTTCGCTGCATTGAATAGGAGGCCGATTGCTTGAAAAGAAAGATGCGTTATTTATCATATTAATATGGATTGCTGTTTGTAATTAGCACCCATTCTTCGAAGGTAAAACAATCATATCAATCAATTACCATTATCGATGCTAGAGCTCTAAGATCTCAGTTGCATCATTCCATGTAAGCTTCCTAAGCTGTTTCCTTAATTCGTATACAAGGTCCAACTGATTATTCATCGTACCCTCTCGTTCTAGAGAGTCATGATCGAACGTCCGTAGTGATGTTGGGGACCGACGGTCTTCGCTTTGTGATGTAAGTTTGCTGCAAAAATAAAGATTGTTATGAAAAAGGTTTGAAAAGCATAGAAAAGAGAGGAGAGGAGATCACTGAACAGCAGTCAACCTTTTGGTAATCGAGCAAGTTGCTTTGTTTTTTATGCATGCCCGACGTTCAACTCGTTGTTCGGCTCTTTGCTTGCTAATCTGATTGACAGAAACACCTGTCCCTGCAAAGTTATTTGTTGTGCAGTGTCAACATAGCGAAAAAAAAAAAAAAGCATGTTACATATGAATGGAATGCCGTCAAAGTTTACCGGTTCGCAGGTGTTATAATCATCGTCATGATACTGCGTCGTATCACTACTGAATACAACTTCTCCATCTCCTGGATGCTATTATGTGAATTCAACTCAATGTCTTTATGCTGAGACAAAGAGTCCTGAGCCATGGTTAATGTTTCTCGTTGTATCCACCGTTATTAAGGACCTTGTTCTGATATTAGAAAGAGATACATTATAATGACAAAGTAAGAGGCAAGCAGCTGTATGCTAAAGGTGACCACTGGCCGAATGTCTCTTGAAAGAGATGCCTTGCCTTGAGGCCCGAACTCCCACCACGGTTTGTTCGGTGTAGCATTCATGCCTGTACATATGAGAGGCAATAGAAATATACATACCAAATTTTTAATGAGAAGCTGTTCTTAACTCACCGAAGGCTCGCCTAAACTTACAGTGCGCGTCGTTTGTTATTCGTATCCCGTGATAGTCAAAAAAATTTTTTTTTGTATCACCGTCCGTGTTCAGAGCGACATAAGAAATGAACCAATGACATGTTGGGAGTAATTAAAGCCGCTTGAAAAAGTTTATCACACTGGAAAACTTGGAACTCAAAATAAAAATCATTTCACGTAATCCCTATGAGCTAAACTATCACAATAATAGTAATAATACCGACACTACTTCCTCTGACGTTAATGATTAAAACGCCCAAAGCCATTTTTGAAATTTGTCAACAAGTCAGAGACAGCCATGTCCAGCCGATTTGTCCTATGTACTAATACAGATTTGTTCCTGTAATGTATTCAATTTGTGATAACCATGGAAATTTGCAAGCTGCATTCAGACTATTGATTTTAAACACTCTACCCCAATTTTCATAATAGTCTTTACTCCACAACGCCATTTCGAAGAACAAACACTTTGTGTGATGCGTACTTTAACACCAACAAACTTTTACTGCAATGGTTGCCAAACCAAAAGCGGCGCGTAATGTGTTCGGTCTTGTATCCGCTATAAAAACGCATGCTGAGATGTGGATTGTCTGTCGTGATAATACATCAGCTGGGTGCTATTTATGGTGAAATATACTGATATAATGCATACGCAAAAATTAATTTTTAATGTCGTGCCCCGGTAGGGCGAGTATTAATAATTTTGTTATAGATGATTGCCACTTTCTTGTTTATTTATCATGCTCTGTATAACTTGCAGAGATTACAACAACAGCGTTTCTATTGACAAATATCTTAATTACAGCAAGCAATTTCCCATCATATTACATTTGATGACGCGAGTCTAATCGATTGCGATTACGGGCTTTGAACAGATTAGCAATGAAAGAACTATAGCCTCTACGGTTCTTACAGCCATTGCTTTAATGGTGAAGGTCGTGGTTTTTGACAACGCAGAGGGGCCAAAGTACAGTATAATTTTAATCACTTGCGATGTTGGCGATTTATTTTATTAAGTATCCCATGGCTAACGTATCGATATTACAAGTCACTCACGGTAGCGTAAATTTAACATGTACTGAAAATAAATACAATAAAATCGTGTTATTCCCTAACTATAACCGCTGTTAGTTTCCAGTGCAAAGTAAATTTAATTATTACATGTCAATTTATTTGACTATTATCATATTAATACAATAATACAACATGATGATATATTACGTTTACACTACCTGGACAAAAGTATCGGCCACCCTAACTTTATTAATTGCTCAAAAGTGGACATAATAATTGGGACTAAAATTTTTATATGTTATAGTCTAACTTGTTATGAAACGTGCATATATTTTTTACGCGTT